GGGTAACACCATTCTGGTATTTCTGCACTATCTTTCTGCACAACAATGGTGGAATTGGTGATCCTCTTACCATCTTGGCTTCTGGGAGACACTGACACTCTGAGAAGCTCTTTTTATACCCAATCATGTTGTCAATTGACCTAATTAGTGTTAATTGGTCTTCCAGCTGTTCGTTATGTGCTCAATTTCCTTTTTCCAGCCATTTATTGCTACTTGTCCCAACTTTTTTGGGATTTGTTGACACTGTGAAATTTTGAATCAACATATTTTTCCTTTAACATGTTACATTTATTCAGATTAAACTTTTGTCATCTATGTTATATTACAAATAAAATATTGACATTTGCCATCTCCACATCATTGCATTCAGTTTTTATTCACAATTTGTTTAGTGTCCCAACTTTTTTGGAATCCGGTTTGTATTATAAAAACAAAAACAGTCAGATTTTACCCTAATATTAAACCTTGGGTCAATAAAGAAATGAAGCATCTTTTAAACCAAAAAAAAGCAGCTTTTAAAGGAGGAGATATGCAATAGATGAGGGAACTAGAGAAGGAAATAATTTGCATGATTAAGAAAGTTAAAATAAATTATAAAGATAAAGTTGAGAGGGAACTGAGTAATGGCAATGCAAGAGATTTCTGGAGGGGACTGAACACAATAAGGGGGAGGAAACAAAAAGATTCCCTTCAGCACACTGACCCTTTTGGTCTTGCAAATAAACTAAATGTTCATTATTCAAGATTTGACATCCATGACTTCAGTGATGAGGTTGACTCTTTCTGTGCAGCCTTGACACCAACTCCTGTGGAGTTACATGAGAAAGAGTTCATTTCAATTTTTCAGAACATCAATCCTCATAAAGCAGCTGGGCCAGATGGGATTAAGGGAAGGGTATTAAAAGAATGTGCCACACAGCTGGGTCCTGTGTTGAACCCGATATTTGAGTTGTTCCTTAACACTAGCTTTGTCCCACAAGCATGGAACATGTCAACTATTGTCCCGGTGCCCAAAATAACACATGCAAAGACACTGAATGACTTCAGAACAACTGCCCTCACATCTGTATTATGCAAATGTATGGAGCGCTTAGTGAGCAGAGAACTCATGTCTGTTACAGCTGAGCATATGGACCCTTTGCAGTTTGCCTATAGGACTAACTGAGGGGTGGAGGATGCCACTCTCTCCCTCCTCAACAAGGTCCATAATCATTTAGACAACCCAAAGACATATGTTGGCATATTATTCATGGACTTTTCATCAGCTTTTAATACGGTTCAGCCACATATACTTTTAAAACGCCTATGTGATCTAAATGTCAACAGCCATCTTGTGTTGTGGATAGGGCATTAACAGAGTACTCGAGTAATCTACACATCGATTGCTAGAACATGTATCGAGGTTAAAAATGTAAGGTTGAGTGTCCGTAGTGACGTCATATTATGTGACCACCGTATGACCGTAGGGGGGAGGTGTTGCACTGTTGCAGGTCACAAAGTATGGTGTAACACCGGGTGCAATCCACCGAACCAGAACCAGCTTCCTCTTGTTTCACAAACAAAAAGCAAAAAATATTCATCTCTAAACCTATTAAAAAAATCTATAAACATATTAATCTCTAAAACTAAACTTAATATGCACCACAGCTGGCGGTGGTGCGGGGTGGTCGACACCCCACCCCAACTGTTAAGTTTCGTTTTTGATGTGCTGCACGTTTCTTCACGTTTGCAGTTTAATAATAATAACTAATAGTTTAGTTTTTCCTGTGACTTATTTGCAGTATGATAAATGGTAGGAGCATAATATACACTCCCAATGTTTTGTTGGTCTTTTTTTTGTAAATAATTACCTTTTTTTGCGGTTTTATTTATTTATTTATTTTTGTATCTTGGGATCTATGACGTCATCAAATACTCGAGTTCTACTCGGGTTTTATTATGTTAATGTCGAGTTTAAAAATTATATACTCGTTCAACCCCTAGATGTGGATTAGCAATTTTTTTAAGAGGAAGACCCCAGCGAGTTTGTGTTGATAACACTCTGACTGTAGGGTCTTGAACACTGGTGTTCCACAGGGTTGTGTGCTATCGCCTCTTTTATTTTCTATATACACAAATGAGTTGCAACACAACAGTAAAGATTTCACATTAATTAAGTATGCTGATGACATTGTCCTAGTTGCTGGTCTGAAAGACACCAGTAGCCCCCCCCCCCCCCCCCCCCCCCCAACTCCCAGCTCATAGACCAGCTCTCTGCCTGGTTTGATGACAGTTTTCTGGCCCTTAATGTCAGTAAAACCAAGGAACTTTGTTTAGGAGGTAGTTGGGGAGCAGCCAGCACCAGACCTTCATTTAGGCCTTCTATTATAAAAGGGCAGGAAGTAGAGCAGGTGACTCATTTTAAATACCTTGGAACAATAATTGACAAGTTGACCTTTGAACCCAACACCGACTATATTTACAAAAAATCCAGACAGTGTCTCCACCTTCTGTATAAGCTGAGGAGCTTTAATGCAAGCAAAATTACTTTGCAGTTGGTGCACAGGTCACTGGTTGAATGTGTTGTTTCATTTAATATTGTCTCATGGTATGGGAACCTCCCAGTCAGAGACAGGAACAAGTTGTCCCGGGTGGTCAGACAAGGTAGTAAAGTCATTGGTCATCAACAAATGACACTTACAGACCTGTACAGTCAGGTTCTGGAAAAAAAGGCAATCCAGGTTTACAATGAGCCAACTCATCCACTGCAACCATTATTCAGGTTGGTCCATCTGGTAGAAGACTGCTGGTTCCTTTAGCAAAGAAAAATGGGTACAAAAAGTCATTTGTTCCCTCTGCGGTGAATGTACTTAACAAGGTTCTATTTAAACGCAGCCTCACATAACAAACTACTGTCTGCTGAAATGTTTCCATATTTTAATGTATCGTGTATTTTAGAATGGTTTTTAATTGATTTAGCAAAGCTTGGTTTTAAAGTTTTTTTTTAATCACATTTTTATTGTTTTTATAAGCCAGATGTCAAAGACAAATCTCCATTTCATTGAATGTTATGGACAATAAAGTTGAATTGATTGATTGATTCATATGAAAAATAAATGGTATTAAATGACTAGATGAGGTGAAATAATAAAATTGTGGCCCAGGTCTCCATGAACCATGGACTCCCCGCAGCTCAGTAGTGCACCTGAACCCCAAGGCCCTGTTTGAATTGTGGTGTGATGGAGTGGGCGGAGGAAGATGTCTGGATGGGGAGGAAGAACTGAGGAGGCAGTGCTCTCCCAATTTTATTATACAACCTAGACGCTCACTTATAACGTTCTCACAACACATGTATATGTAGGGTCTGGAGTGGGCACACGGTGGCATATAGGTGGTGGGATGTGTAATCATTCTCACCTCCGGGGCCTGTGCCCACTGTCATATGTAGCATGTAGACATTTAGGGTTCTGGGCAAGGGTTGGGGGGGGGGGGTGTGTGAACGGGCACTGCCTGCTCTCTGGGGAGGGGGTGGGTTTGTGCCGGTTGCCGCCTCATCCCCCCCATTTTAAACGCACTGTATAACATGCATCAACACCTTATTTGAGTGTGAGGAGGGAGGAGTGGAATCTTCCTGTTAATTAGTTATATATATATATATATATATAAATATATATATGTATTTTTTTTTCCTTACAACCCCGTTCTCTGTTTGACATTTTGAGTCGGGGCAGGGAGGGGGTAGGCCGCCTGGTTGGGGTCTGGGCTGTGGGTGGGCTTTGGGCCTTGGGGGGGGCAGTTGGGGGCGGTGCTCCAGTTCTCCCTGGGTTGTTTGGATTTTTTGATCAAGGTTCCTGATTGCGATGGCCGAACCCTTTGGCTGTGGTGGCTTCCCTCTGGTTCTCTCTGGGGGGGTGCGGTTGTCCCTGTTGGGAGACTTTCGGGGCTCTGGGCTTGGGGGCCGCTGTGTGTCTGTTGCTCCAGTCTTCTGTGTGTTGCCATCATGTCCTGTGGGGACAGGTCTGTGGGTCCCCACATCCACTATTGAACATTTTTCTGGAGAAACCTTATAGTGACATCATGCTCACACAGGTGTTTAGATCCAGGTGTTTATCAGATACACACTCAGTTGGGTTGTGGAGGCCACTAAATATATCTTGTATTATCATGTACTGTATAAAATACTTTCTAATGATGTTATAAGTATCATATATGTTGTTTGTTGTGGTGGTTTCTCGTTTTTTTTTTTTTTTTCTTTCCGCAGGTCTAGAGTCAGACTTCAATGATGTTGATTTGTGTTCTCTTTATCCTTCTCTCTCTCCTCTATTCCTATCTCCTTCTTTCCCTTTTAACCCTTCTCCCACTTTCCTGCTTTGTTTTCTTATTTGTTTTTTCATCCCCATGTCCATTACATGTGAAACAAACCCAAAGCAAATTCTAATACAATTTAATTTATATTTCAAGCAGAGCATTAAGGCCAGCCATAATGCTCTGCTTGTGAAAGTAAATCTGTTGGGCCTCACCTTCACACTCAGACAATAATTGTGAGTGTCACAATGACAGACAGGAGAAGGGGAAAAATAAACAAAACATGAGGTGAAATCCTCACGAACAAACCCTGGGAGTCGGGGTTTGTCTATTCACCTCACCTAGATGTTACTTAACAGGCTCGTTGGGTAGCATCTCTGTGTAGAAAACAATTTCCGTCAAATGTTTTTTTTTTTTTTTTTTTGCTTTAATCCATGTCTACTGCACAGCTTAGTGGTTAGCTTTGTTGCATCATATCAAGAAGGTCCTGGGCTCAATCCCTGGCTGCAGGTACTCCGGTTTCCCCTTACAGTCCAAATCATGCCCATCAGGCTGCCTCAGTTCCAGGAGGAGTGTGTAAAGGATACCTGCGATCTCAGTGGGTCTGACTGGTTAACTGAAGGTTAATTAATGAACTTTGACTGCAACAGTAAACCTTTTGTTGCTGAATGTGAACTGTTTGAATAACAGTGAGCTGCACGTTTTTCTCCTGTTAGATATGACCAAAGTGTATGCCACGGTTCTGAGCCGACGCCACCACTTGGTGAGGAAGAGCGACGGCATCTACGACCCCATGGAGTACGAGAACCACCCAGAACTGTACACGTCTCACTTCAGGACAAGTGTGAGTTGTTTTGGTTGTGTCCTGCTGCTACACTGACTCCCTGTAGGAACTCTTGTCAACCAGCAGTTCCTGTCAGTCACTCACAGGGCTCTTATTTCAGACAGCAGGCCTGTAAGTGCACGCTACAGTTAACTTGGTGTTTTAAGACATGTCTCACATGTCCCTTGCATTACTGCTGCATGTCTACCAGAGTCCACAAAGAGGGGCCTGAAAATACACTATGTCTATCCGTCACTTTGTGCATGTCGTGAGCATAATAACTTGAAAAATAAGCCGACTTCCATTTTTGTGTAGCTGCATCTAGGGATAAGAAAAGTTCCTTTAGGAAATTGGCTTGTCACGTCAAGATCCACGATGGCTGTCGTCACATATGTACTGTAATTCTCGGACTTTAGAACGCACCTGTGTCTAAGCCGCACTTATTAAATATAAGACAAATCATAATTTTGTACATAAATAAGACGCTCCAGTTATGAAGCCGTGGACATCCACTGTTCAGAATTTGTGCCCAGCCTGCTCCGGCTGTATACAGCTTTCTTTTAGTACAAGAATCAGCTAGCAGATTGCTTTTCACAGAATCTAGCTTACTTTCAACACAGACTCGGACTGCAAGATTGTCATGTCTTCATGAAGCTTTGCTGTATGACTCATGGTTACAACCATTATACCTTCAAAATGAAGACAATAATGATCTAAGCATAATCACTGGACAGAACAGTGCCAAACACTTAGGTTACTGAAATTATTTTAAAATTATTTACCCGTAAAACCCAGTCTTATCTAGGTCATGTGACTGGAAGTCAAATCATACTGGTAGAATGCAGTAAATATTCATTAAATTAGTACCATTGAATTTTATTGGTAAACACTTTTGTTAACAACGGCTGATTTTAAATGTAATTTCTAAATAAATTTGACGTGATTTCTGTTCAGCAAAGAGCTCATATGAGCATGACAAAGGACGGGGGAAGAGCCCTCTCCCCGATGTCTCCTCAGTTCTGTTTAATGCCCCTGTTTAAGCTTAAATGAGATTAGGGCTGCAACTAACGATTATTTCAATAATCGATTCATCGGCCGATTATTTTTTCGATTAATCGATGAATCGGCAAAAAAACCCACAATGTTTTAATTTCCACCCCTTTATTCCAAAATTGAACATTTGACTGACATAGCAATTCACACAAAAAACAGGTTGCTATTTTACTATTCTGTTAGTAAAATATTGAATAATTAAAAAAAATAAAAGTTAGTCAAATAGCTTAAAAAAATAAATGTACAGAAAAATATATACAAATGTGTATCCTGATGCATGCTCAATAATCCAGGTAGAAAAATCCAAAAAAGTTCAATCTGGTCCTCTGGACATTCAAAAAAAACAAAAAACAAAACAAAGCAAAAAAAAATCTAGAAACGTTTCGTCTCTCATCCAAGAGACTTCCTCAGTCTGAGGTGCTGTTTTCAACTCAGTCTCTTAAATAGCACCTTCTCAGAGTGGATCAACCAGTTTGCTGCTGACAACCAAAACCAGCTGATCACATGCTCAAGAAGGACCATCAGCCTAACAATGGATCATTAGCACACTGATGGCTGTTTACTACTCACAGAGGGCTGAGTGATACTAGCAATCACAGCATTGTAAGAGGGGGACAGTTGAACCCGGAGGCCTCCACCCCTGTTTAATGATGGACGATTTCTTTTCACAAAGATGGCCTCCTTTACTCCTCTCTCAAACCATCGTTCCTCTCTGTCCAGGATGTGAACATCTTCATCCCTGAAAGAGTGACCTCTGGCCTGGAGATGAGTGTAGACCACAGAGTCCTGGCCTGATGATGTTGATCTTCTGTGCTGGGCCATCCTTTTGGCCAGTGGCTGTTTAGTTTCCCCGATGTAAGACTGATCACCCTCCTGACACTGAACAGCATACACAACATTGCTCTGTTTGTGCCGGGGGACTGGATCTTTGGGATGAACCAGTTTTTGCTGTAATGTATTTTGGGGTTTAAAAGCCACTGGGACGTTATGTTTAGAAAAGAAACGTCTCAGTTTCTCTGATACTCCCTCAACATATGGAATGACCACTGGTCTGGGTCTGGGTTCCTCCTTTTCACCTGATGGCTGACTGGAGTCCTGTTTGGGTTTCTTCTCTGCTTTCAGGAAGGCCCAGTTAGGATATCCACATTGCTCTAGAGCCTGTTTTGTGTAGGATTTCTCCTTCTGCCTGGCTCCTGAGCTAGTGGGGATGCTGTCTGCTCTGTGATACAAAGTCCTGATGACTCCTAACTTGTGCTCCAAAGGGTGATGGGAGTCAAACTGCAAATACTGGTCTGTGTGGGTGGGTGGGTTTGCGGTACACCTCGGTTTGCAAATGTCCTCTATCAGAGACTGAGACCTCACAGTCCAAGAAAGCCAACTTGCCATTTTTTACATCTTCTCGTGTGAACTTGATGTATTTATCCACAGAGTTGATGTGGTCAGTAAAATGTTGGACTTCCTGAGATTTGATTTTAACCCAGGTGTCGTCAACATACCTGAACCAATGACTTGGTGGTGTCCCTGAAAAGGATGTCAAGGCTCTCTTTTCTACCTCCTCCATGTACAGGTTGGCAACGATAGGAGAAACTGGAGACCCCATAGCACACCCATGTTTCTGCCTATAATATTGCTCCCCATATGTGAAGTAGGTTGACTGCAGGCACAGTTTCAAGAGTTGACACAGTTGTTCTGTGGAAAGTGTGGTCCTGCTGCTCAGAGTGGTGTCTGATTTTAATCTTAAACTGACCACCTCTACTGCATCATCAACAGGAATGCACGTAAAGAGTGATGTGACATCAAAAGAGACCATTGTTTCATCAGTCTCCATGATGACATCCCTCACCTTGTCCACAAAGTCCATGGTGTTCTGTATGTGGTGTTCTGAGCTGCCAACTAAAGGGATGAGTACAGACGCCAGATATTTGGAAACATTGTAAGTGACAGAGTTAATCATGCTAACAATAGGTCTTAAAGGTACACCTTGTTTGTGGATTTTAGGTAAACCATACAGACTAGGTGTGGCCTCCCCTGGGTACAGTCTGTGGTACAGAATATGGTCAATAGCCTTGTCCTGCTCCAAATTTTTCAGGCAATCTATTAACTTCTTCTTGTTGCCACTTCCTAGATCTCTTTTCAGAGGTTCATAAGTGTTTAAGTCACTAAGGAGTGTCATAACTTTCTCATGATAGTCTTTCTGGTTCAAAATCACTGTGCACCTTCCTTTGTCTGCTGGGAGAATGATGATGTTTTTGTCCTTGCTAAGAGTGGTGAGTGCATCCCTCTCCTCTCTACTGATGTTGGAAGGTGGTGGTTTGGCATTGCTGAGGCAGGCTGAAACTTTGACTCTGAGCTGTTCTGCTTCAGCCTCTTTCATTTTGTTGTTGCGGATGGCTGATTCTGTTGCTGTGATCATCTCCACCAGAGGAATTGTCTTTGGTGCAACCACAAAGTTCAGTCCCCTGGCAAGAATCTCTGTCTCTGGCTGGGTGAGCTGTCTGTCAGATAAATTCTTCACCCACTTTTCTGTCTCCCTGGCATGTAATTGACTACTGGAGTGTTGTCCTACACTGAATGTGTTGTTATTGGAATAGTGATGGTGTTGATGACTCATCAACACCATCACTATTCACCATCCAACATCCATATATACATCCAATCATCCAACATCCATCCAACCATACATGCATCCATATATACATCCAACCATCGAACATCCATCCAACCATACACACATCCATATATATACATCCAACCATCCAACATCCATCCAACCATACATGCATCAATATATACATGCAACCATCCAACATCTATTCACCCATACATGCATCCATATATACATCCAACCATCCAGCATCCATCCAAGCATACATGCATCCATATATACATCCAACCAGCCAACATCTATCCACTCATACCAGCATACATATATACATCCAACCATTGAACATCCATCCAACCATACACACATCCATATATACAGCCAACCATCCAACATACATCCAACCATACACACATCCATATATACAGCCAAACATCCAACATACATCCATCCACACACGCATCCATATGTACATCCAACCATCCAACATCCATCCAACCATACACACATCCATAT